GCATCAGGGAAGCACTCCACTATCATGGGGTGCCAAAGTACCTGAGGCGGCTGGTGGCAGACTATTTAGAGGAGCGTACCGTCTTGTACGAGGACCGAGAAGGTAATCTGAGGTGTCGGCCCATGTCGTGCGGTGTTCCACAGGGGTCTGTTCTTGGACCCCTCTTGTGGAACATAGGGTACGACTGGGCCCTTCGCGCCGATTTCCCCCCCGGGCTGGGTGTAATCTGTTACGCAGACGATACCCTCGTGACAGCCCGGGGGGCAAACTTCCAAGAGGCGGCGCGCCTGGCCACAGGGGGAGTCTCCCTGGTGGTCGGGCGCATTGAGGCGCTGGGCTTACGGGTGGCCCTAGATAAGACGGAGGCCCTGTTATTCCATGGGCCCCGTCGTGGTCCACCCCCTGGCGCCTCCATCGTGGTCAACTCGGTCCTCGTACCGGTTCGGGCCCAGATGAAATATCTGGGCCTGATCCTCGACGGGAGGTGACTCTTCGACGAGCACTTCCGACAGCTTGCTCCAAAGCTGGTCGGCGCTGCGTCTGCCCTAGGGCGACTTTTGCCCAATATGGGTGGACCCAGCGTCGCGACAAGACGGCTGTACACGGGGGTTGTCCGGTCAATGGCACTGTACGGTGCACCGGTGTGGGCGGCGGCTCTGACCGCCCAGAATAGGGTACGCCTCTGGCGCCCTCAGAGGGTAATGGCGGTCAGAGCCATACGCGGTTACCGCACCGTTTCGACGGAGGTGGCGTGCGCATTGGCCGGAACTCCCCCGTGGGATTTGGAGGCGGAAGTGCTCGCCGAAGTTTATCGGCGAGTGGCTGACTTCCGGGCGGAGAGCGGATTTCGCCCTCCGCCCGAGGATGTGCGCGAGTGGCGCGAAGCCGCTCGCCGAGCCACGATGGCTCGTTGGTCGTTCCGGCTGGAGACTCCACGCGCTGGCTTCGCCGCCGTGGAGGCTCTCCAGCCGGTCATCGCCGAGTGGGCAGGGCGGCAGCACGGGACCCTTTCCTTCCGGCTGACGCAGGTGCTTTCCGGGCATGGTTGCTTCGGAAAGTACCTGCACACGGTCGCTAGGAGGGAACTGAGTCCCGCCTGCCACCACTGCGACTGCAGTGAGGACTCGGCCCAGCACACGCTGGCGGTCTGCCCCGCATGGGCGGCGCAGCGCCGGGCCCTCACTGCAGTCATCGGAGTGGATCTCTCGCTACCGGCCGTAGTACGCTCCATGGCCGGTAGCGACAGTTGTTTTACCGCGGTCGCAACCTTCTGCGAGGTAGTAATCTCGCGGAAGGAGGCAGCGGAGAGGGCCCGGGAGGACGACCTCCACTCGGACCCGATCCGCCGCCGGCGAACCGGGCGGCGGAGGCCCGCCTACCACAGCCTCATGCCGCCCTGAGTGTGGCCGCGGGTGGACGGGGTGGGTTTCCCCTCCACCCGCATTAGTTGGCCAGCCGCGAGGGGGCGGCGTCCGCGTGTGCCGGACGTCGCCTAAAGAGAGGAACATCTACATCGAGACGGAGCCCGCACCAGGAGCGGGCTGGCGCTAGGAGGGGTCCGGATGTCTTAACAACAGCTGTTCCCGGATCCCTCCTGTTACAGGCGCAGAGTGGCACACCGTGTGGTTTTAGTCGGTCCGAGTCCGACACACCACCCCGCCGCAAACCCCGGAGGGGTGACGGTCCGAGGGGATTTCCACACGTTAAAAAAAAAAAAAAAAGGGTTTGTTTCAAGTTTTCCTTCTCTCTTAAACCGGTCACCTTGGCGTTTTCTACTGTGCTGCGTGTTGTGGGTTTGATCACCACATGGCACAACACTTTTTGTGATCCATAAATTATTGTTCTGAGTCTGGGTGTCTTATGTATCCGTTTGAATGAATGTTTGTAAAGTCCCCCGTAACACAGGGCATATTCCAAGTGCGCGAATTATCATTTAAAAAAAAGAAAAGAAACAAAGATTCTCATGTAGGCTCTACAACAAGGGTTGCACGTTAGCTGATAAGAAGAGTTTATGCCAATGTGAGAAGAGGTTAGCAGGCAAAGTTTATGGGTAAGTAACCGCCGACAGGTACAGGTAAAGAAAACAGATTCAACAGAAAATCATCTCACAACTCGTTAAGTGCTTTTTTACCTTGAGCTAAATAGTGAAGTATTACTTGTCTGTCAAATACATCAAACCTACACTTTGAATTGATACATCACTTGAATATCGATAAAGAATGAAGCAGGTTGATTAGAATTTTACAATAGGCCGAACGGAGATGCGCCTTCCACTTCTCGCCATATAAAAACAACATTTTGCATTATATGTAACAGTGCGCATAGAGAACTGGGGCAGTGCGTTCCGTGTTTGAAATTGCCCGCCATTTATACATTCCGACTCGAGTGATTTTATTTTTATTGTTTTGTTTTATCTCTTCTATTTTGTGAATTTTTCCATTGGACAACAGGTAATATTCTTTCTAATTATATGATATCCTAAGGAATAATATAGTTGATTAATTATGAAAATCAATTACACAGGCTCGTTATGTATTTCAAAGGTTTTCTTACTGAACTGTATTTAGTACTGGGCGGAAACCCGTATAAATAGATTATTTATTATTCTCATTAATTTAAACGTATTGCGATAGAACCTTACTTTCTAATTGAAAGATATTTACATTTATTGAAAAAATAATAAACAAATATAGGTAAAATAACGATTTTCTCCGTTCCACGAATTGCCGGTAAATTTTCTGAAAGCTTTTTTCACATCCTGATTTTTTTTTATATAGCTAAATTTGTTATTTATTTCAGACATCTGACACAACGCATTCTAGTTTCAAACTAAGCAGAGATTGTATTATGAAAGCTAGATTAACTGACAGAATACTTGTATAGTTTTTTTTCTGTAAATACATACACATTATACTTAGAAAACACCCAAAATAAGAAACAAATATTTGTAGATCACACGAACATTTCGTCCGACCCGGGAATCGAACACAGCAGTCGCTAGAACTAATACTGCGCTACCGAGGCAGTCTTGCATTCAAAATTAAAAAAAAAATTACCTTTCTCTTAATAAGCGCAAGATATTGTAGCTTATAATTGTGATTATTTCTAAATTAGAGAACTTAGAAAATTACCAACTTCCATACAATCGTTACCCCTTATTTTACCTATAGGGGTGAATTTTCCAAAAATCTTCTCCTAGTCGGTGCTTACAACATAAAAAAACATTAGCTGCCAAAATTTCAAATATGTAGTCCCAGCGGTTTAGGCTCTCCGTTAATAAATTTTTCAGTCATTCAGGTCATGTAATTTTATATGTATAGATTTAATTAATGATGTTTTAAGGAAGATACGTTATATTCATATTGCAAGCACAAAACATTTTTGTTCCGTAACCGTACATACATTCATTCATGCCTTTTAGAACAAAACCTACACTCACCTGTGGTATGAATTTCCTTTATTTTTTTACTTATCCTAATTTGTGCACTTTTAGAATACACAGGAAGGCATATTATAAATTTCCTCGAATTATTTACTGGTCCTAATTAGGACCCTCGCGTTTTGTGTATAATATCATTAGATTTAACAAATTAAGTGATAATATTGTTTTGTTTGTTCTCAAACCATGCCCATGAACAATAAATCATCAACAGCAATAGTCCACAGCTGGACATAGGCCTCTCCTTAGAAAGGAGGTTTTGGCCTACTATACCACGATAGCCAGACGGGTTGGTATAAGGTCTGTGTCAAGTTTTCCTTCTCTTTGCAGTTTTGTTGTCTTTAATAGTTTGCTCCCTTAGTCGGCTCTTACGACACCCACGGGATGAATGGGGGGTTGTGACAATCCGTATTCATAATCCGTCACCACACGGACAGAACAATAAATGAAGCACCCTAAGTACATCAAATTCCCTAAACGTTTACGCAACCAATTACTGTAACGGTAAAATTTTCCACGTGTTATGTAACCAAGATATCATCTCATTTTCTCGTGAGAAATGGCCATTGTGGACCAACGTTAGTCTGATTAGATTTTGGAGTAAAATAAGATTATTAATCAGTTCCCGCTTGAAATGGAAATTCATTTCGTGGTAATGAGAGTGAGTTGTGGTAATCAACAACAGCCTTTAATAGTCCACTGCTTTACATAGGCCTCTCCTTAGAAAGGAGGTTTTGGCCTACTATACCACGCTGGCCAGACGGGTTGGTATAGGGTTTGTGTCAAGTTTTCCTTCTCTCTGCAGTGCTGTTGTCTTACGACACCCACGGGATGAATAGGGGTGGTGTCACTCCGTATTCTCAATCCGTAACTACACGGACATATGTGTAATATGTATTGATAGTTTTGATTTGTTTAGATTTATTTTATTTCTTGATACCGTGTTGTAGACAAAAAGTAATCGTTTACTTCAGGTGGCAAAAAATGTTTTACTCTAATGGAAAATACAGAATGTTATAGAATTTTCAAGTCATATTTTAGCGTCCATTTTAAATATTTATTTATACTAGTAAATTAAATTTCGTGTTAGAGCAGGCTGATTTGGATGAAAGTACGGGTAATTAACACCGAGGATGTTATTGGAATGTCCACACTGTAAAAAGTACGAATAAAAAGGCGGCCCTTGGGCCGTCACCCTTTTGCGGTGGTGTGTCAGAATCGGACCGAGTAAAACCATACGGTGTGCCACTCTGCGCCTGATATAGGAGGGATCCGGAATCAGCTGTTATTAAGACCTCCGGACCAAATATAAACTTTCCTTGCTCCCTGATATCTAAGAACTCAAAACTCATTTTTTTTTCTTTTTTTTTTGGATCTCTAGTCCTGTTACGTATTTCCCAGGTCATTAAAATTTTCATAGCCACTTGTTGTGACTAAAACTATCTATTAAATAGATAAAAATTAACGAAATATAAATTATGAGAAGTTAAAACCTTGGTTTTGTTTCTTAGTGTCAAATATTTACATAACTTTTTTTTGGTTTCAGGTTTCATAAATCAAAATGTTACATTTTAAGGTAAGTTATTTATTACATAAAAATCTTGTTAAAAGAATATTATTTTTACAAGCTTTTATTTGACTCGCAACGTTTGTATGTAGGGTAAGTTATACAATAAATGGCGCTTTAAGGATTCTGTGATCAGTCTGTGGCACTAACTTTTAATTACCATTTTTTCATCCATACTAATATAATAAATGAAAAGTGTGTCTGTTTGTCTGTCGATCTGTTACCTCTGTACGCTTAAACCGCTTAACTAATTTAGGTGAAATTAGAAACAGAGATAGTTTGAGTCCCGAGAAAGGACATGGGATAGTTTTTATCCCAGAAATCATCCTTTAAGGGCACTCCCTAAAAAGGGGGTGGAACCTTGTATTGGGAAACAATAACCTCTGAACCGCTTTAGATGAAATGTGGTATGCAGAGTGTGTGTGTGTATGTGTCTTGAGGAAGGACATAGGCTACTATTTACCGGATAACCAACATACAAGCGGGCGGAGCCGCGGGCAAAAGCTAGTATAAAAATAATCATGAGTTAACAAATTTATTAAAAATTAGTAAGCATAAACATTATAAAAAGTTTAGTTTTACTTAACTTATTATCTGTAAATATAAAAATATATAGTTTGTTTGTGTACGCTTAAAAAACTTAGAAAGTTTTGCATCGATTAAATATTTTATATCACATCAATCCTTAATAGTTTTGTTTAAAATGAATAGTACCCATGACTAATGGGATGCATACAATAGTACTGCTTATCCTATTCGTAATTTTCCCATTTAACCCCTAGAGTGTCCGATTAACTGCAATTGTTTCACTATATTTGTGTTTGTAATACGCTTCTACCTACTCCTTTGGTATACCATATAAGCGTACTTACATTCATATATGTTTTTATTGAATAATATCACTGTGAAAACTTTACTATCGCAATACAGAACTGAGATATTATGTAAAGCTATTACTGAACGTAACTTAAAATATAGATCTGAAAATGTGTCAAACTTCATGCAACGTTCGTTCCGTTAAATATTCTATTCATATAAGAAATCTGTAGCAAAGAGACTAATAGTATAATAATGCATAAAATTGCCATATTCAAGATTCGTCCATTAATTATTTTACCATCAGACCTCATTATTGGCCTTTACGCTTGAAGAAGCTCATCTGCCTTTTAAATAACGATCCTCATTTTATACCTGTGTCTATATAAGGATATTTATGTAACCGTCAGTCGTCAGACGGATTAAGAATACGGTGTCACCACCCCTATTCATCACGTGTGTGTCGTAAGAACCGACCGAGGGAGCGAAATATGCTGGACAACAGCACTGCAAAGAGAAGGATAACTTGAAACAAACCTTTTATCAACCCGTCTGGTCAGCGTGGCATAGTAGGCCAAAACCTGTTTTCTAAGGAGAGGCGTATCTTCAGTAGTGGACTATTAACACGTTTACTGCGGGAGCTCAAAACACGGTCTGTTTTCTAGTGCGTTACGGGACATATTTAGCCCCGCACTGTGCTAATTCCATGTGCGTTACGGGTGCCCTCTTATTCCCATCTAACTCTCTGATTTTTTTTATTTTTATTGTTTAACTTGATAGATTAATAAATGTGCCTTATTATCTAAATGTGTCTTTTTGCCAGTAGATTTGACAAAAACTGACTGATATTATAAAGAAAAATAATATACGGGGTTTATTCATCCCCGTTTCGCACAAAAACTATAAAATACGGGGTTTATAGTTCCTCGTAACGCACGTAAGTAATTTTTATCGATAATAAAATAGTGTTGGGAATAAAGAATGTAGTAATTCGGTAACCAAATTCGGAAATAAAGTCATTCGTACTTTTACAATGTTAAAGTGCAGCATCCACTTATTTTAAGACACTATTTTGCAAAATTGACATCCTGGGTTTTTGTTGTTTTTGACACACATAACATCACATCACATCAACGGCCTCTAATAGTCCACTGCTGGACATAGGCCTCACTTAAGGCTCACAACTAGGTAAATTCTCTTTAGTATCTTGATCATGGTTGTGCCAATGTTAATACATTACATTATAGATAGTTCAACTCAGTTGTGCGCGCGGCCCTATGTGTGCGTGGGCTTGTAAATATACAACTTTCATTCGTGTGGCAGTGACGCGGCAGTCGGACGACGACTGCCACACGAATGAAAGTTGTATATTTACAAGCCCACGCACACATAGGGCCGCGCGCACAACTGAGTTGAACTATCTATACTAGGTGTGACCAGCAATAGAGCTAGTGATAGGGAGCACATCTGAATAATACTCGTAGACTGCCGAAAGAATTAAAGGATTGTTTTAGTGTAAATGCATTGTACATTGTAGCATCCAATACGCTAAGAGGTAAATATTGTATTAGTCATAAGTTAATTGTTATGTATCTCATTATAAGTTTAAATTCTTTAAACCCATAAAATCGTAATTATCTGGTAGGGGTCTCGCGCATTGTTCACGCCGTAGATAGCCTGAGGTACGTCGTGGCACCAGGGATTTCCTTTCTAGGGTACACCTGGTTCCCCGACTACTGGTACCTGATTTACGCACAGAAAAAAAAAGGGAACACTTTGCGGAACATAGGTGTGGACTGGTGTTGGTATGATCTCGTTGATACAAACGATGAGGAACTTTCGTCATGCTTGTGATATGAATGAGACTTGTGTACGGTGTTGAAAAGAACGATTAAAATAAAAGGATTTCTCACAATATATGTATTTAATAGTTATAAATCACACGTATTTATTTTATTACTAGCTGAGACCCGCGGTGTTACCCGCGTTTGTTGTTATAACCGCCGAAGCTAGTCTAAGTTACTCCTTATGTCATCAGCTATCTGCCAGTGAAAGTCCCGTCGAAATCGGTCCAGCCGTTCCAGAGATTACCCGGAACAGACAGACAGACAGACAAAAATTGAAAAAAATGTTATTTTGGCATATGTACCGTGTAAACATACATACATAGTATATTATACAGTATAAAGTACAACAAATATACACTATACACATAGTGTATATTTGTTATAGTGATAGTTATAAACTAAAAGATAGTGATAGTTACACAATCACTATCTTTTATGTGTATATAAATATACTAGTTTAATTTCCTCTTTTTATATATTTTCTTCAGAGAGAAGGAAAACTTGAAACAAACCCTATACCAACCCGTCTGGTCAGCGTGGTATAGTACGCCAAAACCTCCTTTCTAATTAGAGGCCTATGTCCAGCAGTGGACCATTAAAGGCTGTTGATGTGATGATGTGCCACCAGCCATTACCCTTTACCTCTTCCCCTTAATGTTTTCTCTCCACACCACGGTTGCCTGTAAGAGAATGTCTCTGAGCTATAAGGCAGCCATTTGTACTTGTTTTTTTCTTGTATATTTATACCTGGTGTACATTAAAGCGATATATTATTATTATTATAAAATCCTTCTAATCCTCGCTTAAACATTACAATAACATATGAAAAATGTACCACGCTGCTACTCCGTTCGTTCCATTAACATAGTAATATACACAATTGACATAACAAACACAACCCACAATAATATAATGATGGTTACTATTATTGTAATATTTCACAATATATTACGTTAAACGGTCATTCGGTTCTACATTGTACCTGATAATCAGTAATTGGTCGAAACAGGTCATTTTATGACGAAACATACTTAACCAATGTCATTTTTAGTATTTAATTTGAAGGTGTTGTGATGATTTTGGCCCTGAATATCGGTTGGGTCAGGATGTTGTCCTTGTCTTTATGATATCCAAGTCCGCAATGCTGTACTGTTTCGTTTAGATATCTTCTGTACTCAACCAATTTTATGTATTGTGTTTTCTGTCTTTGTGTAATTTTGTCGGTGTAATTTTGAACAGGAGTAATTTTGCCAAGAAAGAGTCATGCTTCGAAACATATGGGTTTTTCTCCGAGTGAGTGAAGTAACCGGAGAATGGGCCTGTTGGTCCAGTGGTTAGTGGCCCCGACTGCTAAGCCGGAGGTCCTGGGTTCGATTCCCACCCAGGACAACTATTGTGTAATGAGCAATGTCATTTGTTCTGTATCTGGGTGTAATTTGTCTATAATATGTATGTATTTAAAAATATATAAGTACGCTTATCAGCAGTCTTGTTACCATAGCAAGTGTGAGATGTGTGAAGTTATAAATAAAATACTTGGTCATCAAAGAGCGGCAAAGCATTTGTGACTCTTGAGTTACAGTCCATGGGCGGTAGAAGTCACCACCAGACATCTACCCGCACGAAAAGGCTGAAAGTCAAAACAGTTTCCTTAACATAATTTCTGCCGACAAAACGACGCTCCCAAGGCTAGAGAAATCATATGGCGTAATAAGTTCCCTCTCACCAATTTCATCCCCTTGGCAGAAAAACTGCCTCCAGGAGATAAACTCCCTGGCCAACCTGGAATTAATCTAACCAAGCGCAAATAAATGCGACTGTGGCACATCACCACAGACAATGGGCCACTTGCTAACATGCACCGCGAGCCCAGCATCATGTACCTGTATCAAGCAAGGCCAAACGCCATTCGCGTCGAAGAGCATTGGGCCAAAACCGTGTAAAGTATTGCCATCGGCACGATAAGTAATTATCTGCCCGTATAGAGATACCATAAAAAAAAATATTTTCCTGTCCTGCAACAAGTTGATTTGGGATTGGTGCAATGTATAACGTTTGAAATGTTTTAGAATAATTTCTTTTACGGTTTGCTGACGTCAGCACTACTTGGAAATGTTATCTTTTCTTGCACTGCAGTTGCTCAAGGAGACTTCTCCAATCGAAATAATAATCTCAGACATCTCACACAGAGCCTGTACTATTCTAACCAGATTGCTGATAAACATATTTATATATTTCTAAACACATCAATATTTCAGACACAGACCAAATGATCGTACTCATCACACAATTATTTGTCTCGGGTGGGAATCGAACCCACGACCTCTGACTTAGCAGTCAGGGTCACTAACCACTGAACCAACAGGCCCGTTCAAAAGGCAACTAAGACACAAACAACAACTGCCTTTATCCAAAATCTCCTGCAAATTTTTTTTATTCAGTGCGTTTTCTTTCATGAGAATTACTTTACATCATGGCGTAAGAACAGTGATTAAAAGGATGGCTAGTATCCATTTTTTCTTCTTGCAAAATGAGATGGTGTGTGAAGATAGTTCTATAATATATGCAAGTGTGAATACAGTAGGCTAGTATTAGCAGTGAGTAGTTAGAAGTACCTATTATATTTCATATAGGGACAATAGTTCTCATGCCATGGTACACTGGCCACCAACATTTTCTTTGTTTGTTACAGTTAGGTTGGGCTTACATGTTGCCTTTGTTTTTCATCACTACTTAGTTGAACAATGTATGTGCGCAAAGTTGTTACCGTTTTTATTTTACTACTTGCTATAGACCGCGGTTTTCTTCACGTCATTATTTCTTATTTCTAGCTTTGAAGATGCTGAACTTCCATGCAACCGTTCAACCCTTATTTTACCTCTTTAGGGGTGAAATCAACATAAAATCTTTTCTTAGTGGGTGATTTCAACAAAAAAACTAAAATTTCATGATTGTAACCCAAGCAATCTAGGCTCTGCGTTAATGAATCAGTCAGAAAATGGGACCAATTTCAAGAACTGAGCGTATTCTCTCTCCGGCTCTTGTGACTTTTTAGTGGCAGGTTTCCATAGGGTGCGGTTGTCATCATTAGGTAAACTGTCTTCTCAGTTACTTCCATGTCATAAAAATCGGCCATGTATTTCGTTTTGAAGAATCAGCCTTTTGTTGATATGTTGCAATGAAAATAAGAAAGAAGTGTTCATCCCAAGTGTTTTTCGTTCTTACTTGAAACATTTTTCGGCAATGATAACTCGTATATTAATCATAATATTTTTGTAAATTATAATAATTTATTTTTCCCCATATACAAGCAATATTCAAGATACAATAAACATTTGATCATTGGGAGACTGGTTTCCAAGCTAGGTAAACAACTTTAGTATGGATAACCATTTCACAGTCAAAATATAGTCTGAGGCAGTGCAACAATGTACATATAAGAGTGGGTAAAACAAGAGAAGAAAAAACAAAAAACCAACTAATGTGGTATACATGTACATACATATACATGACTGCGGATCTAGGGAGTATGGTTATTTGCTACTTTAGTTTAAAGAAAGCTTTTAACATCCTAAAAATAGTGATTGATTCTAAGCAAAATAGTACTAACCGACATAGCTCACGGATTTGACTGCTGAAGTGGCAATAGGCCAACCACATTGCTCGCAGAACCGATAACCGCTTGAATAGAAAAGTTCTAGAGTGGAGACAGCGTTAAGGGAAGTCGTTTAGGACTCCCCTTGGTCAGGTGGAGGAGAGCTAGCACCATTGACTTCCTTTCTAGGGTATACCTGGTTCCCCGGCTATTAGTACCCGAGACGGCGTGCGGTTTTAGTCGGTTCGAGTCCGACATGCCACCGATAGGTGGTATACGAGGGGATTTCCGCACGGAAAAAAAAAGGTGGAGGAGAGCTGACAATCGAGTTCAGTGACGCTTGTTGGAAGATTTCTATTATCAACAGTGGACAATGAAAGACTGATGGTGATGATGATGACATACATAATTCAGTTTTGTCTTTATTTTGCCTTCGATTTTATCTACGCTGTAAAGAAACAAACACCTATTCAGACATACATCTAAGAAACAGTACTTTTAGGAAAATATTTTCAAAATTATCTTTTAGAGGACCGGTTCTATGTAAACCAACTTTTAACCTGATGAGCGTTACAAAACAATTACATCAAGAGTTATATCGACACTAAATGTAAAGTAACTGGTGCGAAGAAGTGTTATACTTGCAACTAAATTACAACTAAACAGGAATTGTAGGAGCTAACTGACCAATATGCGTACAAAGATTATTATAGTTATCATTTATTATTATGCAATGGGAGAGGCCTATGTCCAGCAGTGGACTACGATAGGCGGATGCTGATGATTATTATTATATAATTCCATGTGGTGACAAATTGTTACCACCCCTTTTTATTCCGTGGGTGCCGTAATAGCCGACTTATTGAGTAAACTATGCAAGATAACAGCACTGCAAAGCGGCAACCCCATCGTCAAGCACCACCCACCGGGGTTTGCGGCGGGGTGGTGTGTCGGAATCGGACCGACTAAAACCACACGGTGTGCCAGTCTGTGCCTGTAATAGGAGGGATCCGGGAACTGCTTCGAACGTGGACGTCGCCTCCTCGCGGCTGGCATGTGGAGAGGAAAACCCGTCCCATCCACATGTTGGTATAGGGACACAAACCCTATACTAACCTGTCAGACCAGCGTGATATAGTAGGCCAACAACTTCCTTTCTAAGGAGAGCCATATGTCCAGCCGTGGACTATTAAAGGTTGTTGATGATTATAAATTTAACATTTAATTTGGAATATACCATATATTTTTCCTTAAGTCAATACATCACCATTTTAGAGAGACAGACAAATGAAACATCATCTTATACCAGATATCCGAAACGACTCCAACGATTTTCAATGAAATTCACTATGCAGGGGCTTTCGGTCACGATTAATCGATCTAGCTAGGTTTCATTCTTAAAAAAAAATACCAAAAAAAAAACCAAGCAAAGCTCGGTCATCCAGATACTAATTATTAACTTTGATATGGTATTCATTAGGGATGAAATAAAAAAAAAATCTTTGACAAAAAGTATTTAGAATGGCATTTATCTTTGTCTATGACCAAATCTCAATCACAGGTGAAATCTCTGTCTTTTTAGGGTATACCTGGTTCCCTGGCTATTAGTACACGAGACGGCGTGCGGTTTTAGTCGGTTCGAGTCCGACATGCCACCGACAGGTGGTATCCGAGGGGATTTCGAAAAAAAAATAAAAAAAAATAAAGGTGAAATCTCTGTGACTAAAGCCTCTTTTCATCATATGACTATGATTTAAAAGTAGCAATGATTTCCATGTCTAAGCCATTCATGATAAGCACCACTTTGAAAAAGATTTTTTATTATTTTATATCGCACGTATATGGACATCGGTTTATGGCGAATGTCCAAAAAACCCTTTCACTACCAAGTGAATAATTAGTTATGCTTTTAAACTCATTCTCACGTTAAGAATAGGAGCCTACTCCCATAGTGGAGTAACTAGACCTGCCTGGATTGTGTAACGTGTGATTACCATTGTAGGTGGTATATGAATTACCAGCTGACCCGAGCGAATTCGTCTGCGTCTCTTAAAAAGGAATAAAATTTCTTTCTTTTGCAACATTCTTCATTGATTTTTGGATTAAATTGGTTGTAGCATAATGGTATATTATATAGCATATAGCCTTCTTTCCTTCCTTTATGGGCTATCCAACACTAAAAGATTTTTTAAATTCAAACCAGTACTTCCTGATATTGTTCCTGTTGTCAAAAACAAACTCTTAAGCTTTATTGACTGCACGGATGACGTAGTGGTTTAAGCGGTCACCTCGCCGCTTCCTACTGCGCTGAGTGTTGTGGGTTCGATCCCCATATGGGACAAGACTTTGTGTGATCCACGAATTGTTGTTCTGAGTCTGGGTTTCCTTTGTGTCTCATGTATATTTATAAAGTCGCCCGCGACACAGCATTTATACCTGGAGCGGGATTTCTTAAAAAAAAATTAGTGTAATCCATACGTATATTATTAATTTGAAAGTGTGTTTTTTTTGTTAGTTTGTTACGCTTTCACGCCTAAACTACTAAGCCGATTTCAAAAATTCGTTTACCAATGGTAAGCTACATTATCAGCGTCAATAGCTAGTCATTATTATATTATTATTAAGTATGGATATTATATATGATTTATATTTTCTATTAACCTACTTTCAGGTCTTTATTATCTGTCTGATGGCTGCAGCAGCAACCTGCGAGCCTCCAATCCAGGGTTACAACTACCAACAACCAGCTCTGAACAGTTACAACTCGCCTACCAATAGCTACATACCTCCCAGTACTGGTGAGTTAAGTAAACATATGAAGCGAAGGTAGCGTCATGGCTTGGGTTCAAGCCTTAGTGCACGACGTGCACGCACAACCAACGTGAACCCAAAAATAATCAATATAATTTGAGATCCTTGCGATCTGTGCGATGAACCCTGTTTTTACCCTACCCTTACCACTGACTTCGAACAAACTAGCAGGCGCTTGGTGCCTTTACAATGTTATCTCATAGCAATATTGTCTCGACTGCACAGATGGCGTAGTGGTTTAAGCGGTCGCCACGACGCTTCCTTCTACGTCGAGTGTTGTGGGTTCAAACCCCACATGGGACGACACTTTGTGGGATCCACCAATTGTTGTTCTAAGTCTGGGTGTTCTTTGTGTCCGTTTCATGTATGTTTGTAAAGTCCCCCGCGACACAGGATATTTTCCTAATGCGGGAGTTGTCTTTTTAAAGAAAAAAAATCTCATAGTAAAAAGTGTCACATGTCTTTTCAATTAAGTTTGTAATCAATATATTTCAGTACTTCTTGAATTCGCTTTAACGACTATTTTACTCCTTAAACTTTGGTAATTACACATACTATATTTTTACTACAGGTTTCTCTCCACCAAGCAACAATTACCTCCCTCCTACCTTCAGCTCCGGCAACCAAAACTCCTACAACCACGGCCAACATAGTCACCACGGTCACGGACATGGTCATGACAATGAAGTGGTAAGGAACCTTTACCCACACAGTTACCCACACTCTAATGCTTCACATTTGAGAATTAACATGCAAAGTACCTCCGATTACGTAAGGTATTTACGTAAGCGGAGCTAATTGACCTGTGAGACGGAGATCTAGACGGAAATTAGTCTGCCAGTGAGAAAGAGTTATCGGGGACAAAGATTTGGTACTACTTTGGGACTACTTAACTTGCAGGACTCTTGCTATAATAATAAAATAATAGTAAAATATTCTCACACATCTCACACACGGCCGTCTGATCTCAAACTAGGCGTAGCCTGTGCTATGTAAACCAGACTGCTGATAAACATACTTATATATTTCTAAATACATACAAATTATAGATATAAGAACAAATAAAATGTTAAAAATATAAGTTACAAGTAAAATCCTTTAAAAAAAAAGTTGAACCGACTTCAAACAATACTAACAAAGAATACTAAAAACCTTGCAGCAATCGCGGTTGATTTTCTGTCATTTTTTGAAGAGTTTATCTGATTCCGATACTCATCATCGGGTCTATATATATGAAATTTGATTGGGACTATTTCAGATTAAAATCCTTTCCCACAAAAAAAGAATTTTGGAAATCCGTCTATATATGACGAAATTATGCCCGAATATACATAAAAAAGAAATATAAACATCCGAATTGATAACTTTCTTCTTTCTAAAGTGGGTTAAAAATTATCTCTTGAGCTTCAGGTGTCCATGGGCGCACCAGGGACTTCCTTTCTAGGGTATACCTGGTTCCCCGGCTATTAGTACCCGAGACGGCGTGCGGTTTTAGTCGGTTCGAGTCCGACATGCCACCGACAGGTGGTATCCGAGGGGATTTGCGCACGGAAAAAAAAAAAGGTGTCCATGGGCGGCGGTAGTCATTTACCATGAGATGACCCATGACATCAATGGCCAATGGAAATAATAATTAAAATTCGTCCAGGAACTCCGAAGATGTCTGGTGAATCAACACACAAAACCAAAGTACCGTCTACTCTTTTGCCCCCGGTAACATGAAAAAACCGTCCATTTCAGGACATGTTCATTTTGAAACGGAAGTCGATGAATTTCATTTTTAATAGATCTTAAAAAAGGAGAAGATTCCCAATTCAGCTACATTTTATTCGTTTCTTATTTTTTACCTCAAAACTCCGTGATTTTACAGCCCAATTTTGAGAAAAAAAGGGTAAAACAAAAGTTGATACAATTTTAAGATTTGGTCTGTGTGACGGATTAAGAATACGGAGTGTCACCACTTCTATTCATCCCGTGGGTGTCGTAAGAGCCGACTGAGGGAGCAAACTACGCAAGACCATAGCACTGCAAAGAATAGGAAAACTTGACACAAACCCTATACCAACCCGTCAGTCCAGTGAGGTATAATAGGCCAAAACCTCCTTTCTAAAGACAGGCCTATGTCCAGCAGTGGACTATTAAAGGCGATGTGGTGTGATTTTAAAAGTTAAAACCAGCAACTACACCATATAACTAGGTAGGTACCTACTATTGAATGTTGACAAAGAATTTACCGTTCGCCCGATAATGTCACTAATTAGAAAGCCAGTAAACATTCAGTTACCGTTAGTTTAGTTTTGTGAAATATTGCAAAATCGAATTATAGGCATTTTTCATCATCATCACATCAACAGCCTTTAATAGTCCACTGCTGGCCATAGGCCTCTCCATAGAAGGAGGTTTTGGTCTACTACACCACGCTGGCCAGACGGCATGGTATAGGGTTTGTGTTAAGTTTTCCTTCTCTTTGCAGTGCTGTTATCCTGCGTAGTTTTTTCCCTTAGTCGGCTCTTACGACACCCACGGGCTGAATGGCGATGGTGAAGTATTCTTAGTCCGTCACCACACGGATAATTATAGGCATTTTTAACTTACTTAAAAAAAAAGATGCAATTTTTACTTCTGTGTTTTAAATGTTTGTTATCTCAGAACCGATTTGCAAAATTCTTTTACTGCCGTAAAACTTCTTTACGCACGCTTGACTTGGGGAGTAAGCTGGTGAATGCGTGACGAAAAGTGTGAGGCGAACGGAAGTTGAGAGGGAGTTAGTAAAGATAGAAAGAGAGAGAGTTACATTTCGTACATTACTGTAAAGGCAAGAGAGAGAGGTGCGAACACACATTTTCTTTCTCTCTTTCTCTCATAGCCAAGAATTTTTACTTCAGTCGTGTGGTCTAAAGCACACTTGTTTTTAATTAGGAGTGTATATATTTCGTAAAGTCATCATTTTGTTCTCATAGCACGTCTAAGGGTGGCAAATTAAGAAATGAACACTACGTGCAGTTTATTGCAATTCATCACGACGTAGACTATCACTGACTTCAATTATTAGTGATAGTCTTTTAAAGATAAATAAGATAAGATAAAAGATATTTATCATTATTTAAAAAATATCTTTTGCCCCCGACTTCGTCGGCGTGGTGGTCGACATCCGCCCGTAGTATTTATACTGAGAGTTTGGAATCGATAAGTTAAAAAATAATTGTTCCCATACAAACTTTTTAAAGGTACTTTGCGTGTTTTTTAGTTTTTTAAAACTATTTTTTTCTTAAATTAGTGTATTGTCATCGGTCCTCGATAAATCTTCAAAGTTTGAACGAGATCTGGCCGTTTAAAGTGGGTCAAAATCGCGCCCAAAGGAGTCGGTTACGAACATACAAACAAACATACAGGTGAAGCTAATAAAAAGAGTGTCAAAATAGTAACAAAGTTTTACATTACTTTTAATAACGCTACTACCAAAAATAACGAAGTTTCATAGAAATTTGCAACCCCCATTTTGCATGCTTAGGAATGGAATCCTTTCTTAGTGTACACCTACCTCACCTGGGGTGTGGAAGCAAGAAATAGCTCATGCTTCAGGACCCAGCGGTTTCAGATGTACGTGAATTAATCAGTCCGTGAATCTGTCTGTCATTTTCTTCTTTTATAGATATTGCTTTGCCATACACTCACGTCTCTAATCTATTAAGGGGTAGGGGGTAATGCCCTCATTTTCCGTACAATGTTACATTTTTCAATTTACAAATTTCAATTCAGGGTTACAACATCTCAGGGTTTCTATGGGTATCGGCGAGGTACTGATGATCGTTCTTTGTTATATTAGGTTTTTACCCATGAAGTTGGAGATTTATGTGAAAATATAAAAGTTATGGTTATTTTTTATTTTAGCTAATCAAAGTACTGGCCAGAATTATCTATACAATTTAGTTGTTTGTTTATCCCTTTACTGCAGAAATCTGCTGGACTAGATAGGACTGGATAGATGGAAATAAAACAACAAAACAATATAGAATACAGGGCAGCTGGGCTAGCTTCTTGGTCTAGTGTTAGTGACCCTGACTGCTATGCCAGCGGTCGTGGGTTCGATTCCCATCTAGGACAAATAACTGGACGATGAGTACGATCATTTGTTCTATCTGGGTGTAATTTGTCTAAAATTTATACGTATTTAGAAATATATAGGAATGTTTATCAGCTCGGAAACGGGCGGTTGTAGATCGCCATAGGCATATAATGGATTTAATTTATTTTGCTAAATATTTGACAAAACAGATTTTTGCTATTGTTGTTTCTTTTTTATGGTATAAGGGGGCAAACAAGCAGACAGGTCATCTGATGGTAAGAAACTACCGCATTGTGTGTTTAAATATCTTTTTGACAAAGATATTTTGACATTGACTTTTCTGGTTACTATAGTACAGGCTCCACCTAGTTTGGGATCAGACGGCCGTGTGTGAGATATTATAAATGTTTACTTCATAAAACATTTTTTTGTAAATGTAAAAACTTTTAATATTAATATTCGTGTATAAAATTAGACGCCATAAGCGTCATATCACGGTACTATTATAATACAGTACTGCAACTTCATACAAACGGACGAAACGGGAGCTATACCTACGCGCCTCGATCTCGGGGTGCGCTCGGGGCGCAGACAGTCACGGCTGTACCGCAGTGTCGAACGGACTGCGTGTGGTTTTTTTAACAATAACCGCGCGATTTTTTCTCTAAAAATCAGTTAATATGACGAGTAGGAAATATTGTGCTGTTTTTGGTTGTATGAATTCGTCAATAACGCATCCAGACATAAGTTTTTTTAAATTACCTGGACACTCTGAAAAGTAAGACTATAAAATAATTTTACTTACTAGTACGTAGGTACATAATGTGTGTCTTTTTAATGGATAAGTATTTCCTTTTATCTCACGAAAAAAAAGGTGTTTGGATGAATAAATAAAGCAAATAGAGTAACGGAAAGTTATTGAGACGAGTGAAATAGGGAGTTACATGCGGTTCTGAATGAATCATGATACGGTAGGTACCTACCTACTTACGCTTGTGTTAAAACTTCGGTGCATGTTTGTTTTGTTACTTTGCATAATTCAAAAAAAAGAAAATTCTACTTAAAGACGTGGTATTTTATTATTAATAATATATCTTTATTATCTGTGTGTATGAATAATACTAAAAAAAATTTGTTACCGTCTGTGTGTCATTAGACAGTTTTCGAAATTTTCACAAAGTGTTTCTGCTGCTACTATAACAACATATACTACTAAAAACTGGTTTTATTTTCTCGGTATTAACAACAACAGCTAGACTCGTATATAATATTTAGATGTTTGAGGGTTGTGATTTTAAAACATTCGTAGTCAGCTGTTCAGCTTTTTAATAATTAATTAATTGGTGACCAAAGAATTTTTGTTTTGAGTTGTTGCGAGTTGTAGGTTATAGGTTAGGTAATTTATAGAGACGTTAATTAGCTGAGATAAAAAGTTACTTACTCGTCAGCTGTTTCTTGCATTCTAGTTGAGTAGGTGGTAGGTGTTGGAGTTTCTAAGGATTGGAGTTTTGTAACGCGTATGGAGAAAGCACATTTATTTTATTTTATAGAAGGATTTTTTTCGGTCGCTAATTTATAAGCCCGATTGGTTTTTCAAACAAAAAAATGTTTTTTAATTAAATCTACCAATCAAAAAACAACACGCATTTTTATTGAACAATTCCTATTCAATATACAAAGTATTTCATTTATTTATATAAAAAGGATATTTACAATCACAAATCTAAATAGAAACAGAAAGTAGGCAAATATAATTAAAATGCTGGAGACGGGCAGCCCTAACGCATGTTTAAGTACCGCGCGGCTGTAGGCATTTATTTCTATCATGCGGCCGAGTTACAATACTGTATTATAATTGTACCGTGGTTATATTTACAACAAAATAAATTGCTTCAATAAATTATGACGTTAAGTTATCTATCAAATACTTATATGTAAACAAAATTATTGTTAATTAAGATCAAAACGGTCAAAACATCGATTACTATAAACATAATTAGAATTATATATTATTTAATTACGTGTTTTCTTGTATATATTATAAACATGATAAGAACTGATTGGCTTCAATCTATATATATTATTGTCTAAACTATAAAATATATCGCCATAGTCTCCAAATATCAAACTAGAAGGGAAGAAATTTAAATCGGTAACTTTAGTTGCCGTACCGTTCAAACAATCAATTTCATATATTCCATTATCGGTTAAACCAAAAGTCTTGTCTTCTTCCACAAAAAAATGATAAACAACATTCAAATCTCTATTTTTGACAATCTCGTGACTGCCTACAGCACAAAATACCCCACACATTGTTACTAAATGTATATTTTTCTCATTATCAACTTCAAATTCCATAACAGTCTTCATATCACTAACTCGAACTGCAGTTTCTCCTTCGTTAAATATCTTATAAAGCCTGTGGTCGTTGGCATCAATTAAGTACATCTCATTATTTCTTACAACTAGCTTAAAAATATTCATATTGTACAGTCCAATATTGTAGGCAGTATTATTCAGTGCATCGTATTTGTATAGTCCATCGTCGGAACCGAAGTAGACTTCACCAGTATCTAGATCAACTGCAGTCGCTTTGTTTCTCGCTATACCATTCACTTTCTTAGTCTGTTTAGTCACTATATTCACGAAAGCACGGCCAGAGTTCTGTAAATAGTTATCCATGTACATAAAAAATAGGTTTCTGCTAGAAGAATCGTAGGCAAGCTCTTTAGGTGCTTCATATTTGTTCGTGAGGAGCTCCTTTCTGTACAACCTTGAACCTATTCTTTCAATAGGTGTGTCAGTTAGATATATAGTCAATTTTGCATTAACACAAACGATTAATGCGATAAATATAAATTTAGTTGCCATTTTTGAACGTGCGACCCGTACTGAACCAGCTTTAACACTGCCATTGTTAATATTTTGATTAGTTATCTTAGCTGCTACAAGTTCAAATGTATCATCAACAGTTTATATATCATACGAATTTGATTCTTATGTATCAGTTATAAGGTGTACTTTAATTATTTAATGTAACTTTGTATTTTCACGCACAGCTGGGTTCGCGTAAATGAGCAAATTGTTATGAATGCTTTAAGGTCACGGTACCATGTGGATCAGTGACGTAGTAATATTAATTGAGCTTGTTAAACTATGGAACCAAATTAAAGTAGGTAGAATATTTGTGTTACTCAGACTGGGTTTTTATTGAATCTGTTATTTTAAAGTGGAGTTAAAAGGGATATAACTGAGACAAGAATGAACTCTTCAATCGTTCTAAGAAACGTTAACCGTCTTTTATGCAATATAAAGTGTTGTAGATACGTGTCACAGAGCCAAGAGATCATTGCGTAGGTCAAGATTGTAATTTCTTTGAAAATGTCATGAATTCAAATGTAGATTTAGACAAGCACGTGATAAATTATTGTAAACGGGATATTTATCACGTCAATTCAGTTCCGATCTACTCTTGATTTCAAAAATGTCATAAAAGATATTCTCGTAGTAAAGTTTTACTAAGGCTAGCAGAATACCGATTCAATTTTCGGTCACAATGCGATATAATCACATTACAGTCAATGTTGGATGTTTAGTACTTTGTGTGTGTGTATTTTGAACGAATTTTTATTACGAATTGATCGTCAGTCAATCCGTAATCATGGCGGCTAAATATAGGACGTAATATAATAATAATAATCTACCACATTCACGCAACGCCATCTAGTCCCAAACTAAGCAGAGCTTGTGCTATGGATACTAGACAACTGATATAAATACATATATACTTTTGTTTTGTAAATACATACATATTATACATAGAAACACCCAGACCAAATCAAACATTAAATGTTCATGCACACAAATGTTTGACTTGAGCGGGAATCGAGCCCGCGACCTTTGGAATAGCAGTCCGTTACACAAACCACCACGCCATTCGGTTCTCATGTATCATGTCAATATGTTTTCGGATGTAAGGGTACGGTACCCTACCTGTCCTTTTTTGTATCCCCGACGACATGAATGCAAATTTTCGTTATGATATATTGAGTAATTGGCGAGTAAGTGTAACAAACATACTTTTATATAAGTTAGGATTACTACTTATATAAAATTGATTAATTAGGATATTTACTTCGTCTAATATGTAGCCGTCAGTGACTTGAAGGACAGTCAATATGGGTACGCGACCCTGTCCACTTTGACTTACAACTTGCTGAGGTTTCAGTTTCTGAAACTCTGCATTTCGGTTTCCTCTTCCTTATCCTATCCGTTTAATATAAGTCCTCACTTTCGTTTGTCTCGAAACGATAACAATACCAAGAAAGGTTGGCGTCGTTTACAACTTGCAATGTTATACATTGCGACGTTACCAACTAACTGGGATGGCTGAGTGCATGTGTTTGATATGTGATGTTGATGCATTTTATAATTAATAGTGTTTTATTCAGAAAGGTCTGTTTAGTTAGTGGTACTGTGTCAGTCATCATCATCAACAGCCTTTAATAGTCCACTGCTGGACATAGGCCTCTCCTTAGAAAAAAGGTTTTGACCTACAATACCACGCTGGCCAGACGGGTTGGTATAGAGTTTGTTTCAAGTTTGCCTTCTCTTTGCAGTGCTGCTACATTATTTAAAAAAAATTTTTTTCTTAAAATCCGTTCTTAGCTGACCTCTACTCGGTGAAAAGAATATTCCTACCAAATTTTAAGTCTTTAGCTCTAATGGTTCCAGAGATATCGTGATGAGTGACTATATACGTTGAAATCTCTTATATATATTATATAGATAATGGTTCGAGCCCAGTAAATTTAACACGACAGATTGTCCAGAATTCTCTCAGCATTATCATTTCTATATAAAACTATATGAATGTATTAATATATATATTTCAGCCAAAATCCTACGAATTCGGATACTCGGTGAAAGATGCCCAATCCGGCAATGATTACGACCGCAAGGAGAGCTCTGACGGCAATGTTGTCCGCGGAGAGTACAGAGTGCAGCTACCTGATGGACGTACCCAGATCGGTATGTGGTTGAACTTCTAAGATAAATAGTCTTTTTGACGAGTGCTACTGTGTGGCTGCTGTGGTAAGGGACTATTGCCATTTAAGAACAGCTGCATTTGAGGATGCAGTACGATCTTTTCATGAAGGTTAGAAGTTCTTATCGGTCCGGAAATATCGCTGGCGACAGTTTGACAAATCTCTTTATTAAATGTAAAACAGTACGTTCTGTAGAACACTTGTACGTACTTAATTAGGGACTTGTGACGTCATTCTTTGCTATTTATTTTAGTGTTTGTTTCTAACCAATTTCAAACAATATGATTCTGCATTCTATTCGTATGTATGTTTGTATACATTAACGATTTTATTTTTTGTAATATTAAAGTATTCTATATATTATCAGTAAGGTTTTAGTATAAAAATCTATGATACAACAACGTTTGGCAACGATTTCTTTTTTCCGGCAACGCGTTTGTGACTCCTGAGTTGCAAACGTTCATGGGCGGCGATGGTCACTTTCCATCAAGTGACCCGTCTGCTCGTCTGCCCCCTTGGACATAAAAAAAATACATCAGTTATTTCCTACTTCCTGGAGCTTACAATTAATTCGGTGCTTTTCACTTGGACCCCCCAATCTCCTTCTAGAGGAATCCCTTTGAGTGCCCGTATTCAAAAGGAGGAAACGCATTTTCGTCACTCAAGTTGCAGATGTTCAGAGGCGGCGCTAACCACTTATCAGCAGGAGACCCAATGCTCGTTTACGATCAGAATATTTTTCCTAGTTGCTTTAAAATAAATGCGATTTATTTAATCTGTAAAATGTCAAATCAGCGTCATCTATCGTCATATGTTTTTCATGTCACAGTAACTTACCATGCCGACTGGCAGACCGGCTTCCATGCTGACGTAAGATACGAAGGACAAGCGAAGTACCCCGAACCCACATACAATAACAGGAGACAAGGTAAGCATTCAAGCCTTTCTAATGTCTGGTTTCTGTCATTGAAAGTCTGTTTGAGTCCATGCCAAAGGTTATTGGATAGTCAAAAGTAATCATAAGTCCGCCATTTGCACAGATTACCCCCTAATAGATACCGCATACAGGGCCACAAAGACGCGCAACACTTATTAACTATAGCTATTAAGTTAAGTGACGCTAAGAATGACGACTTCAGTGACGACCAAGTTTATGACCTGTACGCACGTAGGCACGTCCGAGTTTTTGACAATTTAAAAATAGCTTACTGTCCCAAAATACGTTAAAAATGGCTTACTGTGCAGTGAAATTATGTGGCAAGTCAGCTAAGACATCCAGTTATCAAAAAGATGGCATTACATTTCATCGGTAAGTAAATTCTATTCTTATCACGCTAACCTATTTCAAATGCACTGGAGGTCAACTTAAACTGGTAACATAATGGTGCAAAGTAATAACAACAAGGCACCCGTTGATGTCTTTTTGAAATGTCCCTTTCACTCATTATGTAAATTACAATAGTTGTCTTTGTCTAATAACAGCACGTGTATCGATAGTGTTGTAATTTATAAGTCGATATTTGTTTGGTCATCGTTTGAATTTTGTTTATTGAAGTCATTTTATTTAGTAAAAAATAGTGGCGTATCATTCTGCTATATGTAATAGGTTTCCTAAATGCCCCGAAAGGAAGATGTGGATCGATGCAGCTGTTGTACATTATTTAATAAAGAAGATTAAATGCAATACGTGCGTTAAAGCATTAATATCCCTGGATGAGAAAAAAACCAGTTTGATTTATGCAAGAGATGCAGGAGGACTGCTCTTCCCGTCTACTATGGTCACCAAAATTTGCAGACGATCTGAACAAGTCATTCGAAGCTCAATCGATTCAAATCAAGGATCTAAAATATATTACAAAGACAAATTCCGTTTTGTAACACAAACATTAAGCAGTTTTATTAATGAGGATATTTTCCCTGAAATAAAAAATCACCAATTCGATCACGAAAGTTGTAATCATGTCATTGATTTAGCTAAGAGTGTCATAGAAAAATACATAGACATAAGATTACTTTACTTATCTCGGAAGACAGATCCTAAGAATTCTGTGAGACACATTTATACCAAGCTTATCCATTTTAAAAATCAATAAAATATATATTTAAAAACTTAAATGTACAAATAAATTTAAAAAATTATAAACATTGTTTTATTTTTTTAATAAATATCAAGAAAACATTGAGTAATGTATTTATTTATCAATAACCAACAAATCAAAAATAAAATTAATATCAATAATTCAGATCATCCTACCTAATTTATCGATCAACGCCCCAACCCTGTCCCATCACTATGGTTCGATGCATTCCAAGTAATATCCAATCACAGCGCATTTGACTCGTCCCCCGCAACCCTTGCATACCACCAAATGTTGTGAACTCGAATCAGTACAAATATTCAATAATGCGGTATCTATTAGGGGGTAATCTGTGGCCATTTGCAACGTATTTTCAAGTATAAATAAAAAAAGCGTTTTAATTTTTAGGTTTGAATCTAAACTTTTTTAATTTAACTTATTATCACTTAAGAATTTAATAGCCCCATGTGAGTATTTTACGAGTGTTTGTTTTCCTAATTAGTAAATACCCAATAATATACATAATTGAATGCGAGATGGGAGAGGCCTATGTCCAGCAGTGGACTGCGATAGGCTGATGATGATGATACATAATTTATCAAAAATGAAATAGAAATAATGCACAAATTCCAGGAGGTTACAACTATAACGCCCCTCAAGACTTCAGCGGTTCGTTAACAGGCTTCAACAACAACAACAACTACAAACAACCATCAACCGCTTACGGTCCCCCCGGATATCAATGAGTACAATAAACCAATTATAAGTTACCATATTGTACAAATAATAAGAGTTATATTACAACTAAATCTTTATCGTTTATCGACGTCAACGACAACTGAACTACAACCTTACGTTATTAACGATAGTTATAATTAAGTTGCTATCAACGATTTGCAATTAAATGATTTTGTTTAATAATATCGTGATTTTGTAAAGAATGTTTATTTTAATAAAAATGAATAATATATGTATTTGGGATTGCTTTATCATTGATAGACTTTAATAATAATCATGAACAATATACGATGTTACACCACAAAAACGATAGATATTTATATCAGAACTAGCTTGTGGCCGCGACTTCGTTCGCGTGTAATTTGAAAAGCGCTGCCTTAGTGGGTTCGATTCCCGGCTCGGGCAAAATTTTATAGGGTTGCTGAGAGAAAAAATAGCCTTGGTTACTCCTTATATAGACAGCTACCTGGTAGTAAAATATTATCAAAATCGGTTCAGAGGTTTTGAAGATTACCCGGAACAAACAGACAGACACAAAATATTTAAACTGTTATCGGTATCGTGCAAATAACCGTGTGAGCATGAAAAAAACCTACAAACAGACACTTCAAGTTTACTTATTTGTATAGATATTCATTCATTAATTACTTACCCTATCTTTGACTTAAAAATCCTGTGTAGTGAATTAAATAAAATGCAATGGTTTGAAATTAATTAATTGTTGAAAATCATGATTTTGTAAGTTGTTAAATCGGTTAGCAGCATCACATATATTAAGAACAAGTTCAATAGTGCTAAAGTATTGGACTTTCTATCAAAACATTGCCGGTTCGAATTCACTCCTGACAATAACAATTTAGGTGATACGGCGATAAGTACGAGAATATTTGGAATTATTATGGTATCTTTGTAATAATAATTCGAAGAATGTTTTACCCAAAACAATTTAATTATTTATAAAAATGGAAATTGACATTTTTTTTTTAATACAGATGTTATAATTATCCAATACAAATCATTATAAATACATTTTCAAAATAATTGACCGTGTATTGTTGTACCTCAGCAATGCATCACATAACTCGTAATTTGAATCGTAACATAAGTGATCAAAGTGTAATTTTGTATTAAAACAGTATTGACTATCTAATATAATTTGTATTTTAATTAATAAAAGACTCATTTTAAATATCTAAATACAAAAACAAACAGTATTTTTAGTATGTAATATTAAATTAGTGTAAGATATTTTTGTATCAGTATTGTTTATTAATAAAGATATTATTAAAAAATAAATATGTATTATTGTATTTGGATAGTTGATATCCTCTACTTCTTTGTGCTACTGTGGTCTCCTGTTCTCTTTTTTATGGAATAGGGGTCAAACAGCAGACGGGTCACCTGATGGAAAGCAACTATTGCCGCCCATGAACGCCTTCAACTCAGGAGTCACAACCACCAAATAAAAACGTCTTGTCACCTTTAGTCTTTTTCTGAGACTTACGAATAACCCTAAATACTCTATTTTCCTTTCTTTTCTACAAATTTACCTTCTCCGTTTGTCCTGTACGAAAATGATACACTCCCAAAGAGAGTTGGCTTCAGGGAGCCTGACAGCTATCAAAGAAACCAGCCAAACATTTGTCAATTTAGATATTAAGACTTGTGTAATTTGTGGAGATAAATAAAAATATATTTTTATTAAACCTTTTGCAATGTCGATGATTTTTCACAATTTCAACACTGACAAAGAACTTACATACTTTCTGCCATCTGTTGCTAACTGTTATGCTACAGGCGTATACATCAATACAAGCGACATGTAAAAATGATTTAAAACTGCATATGTAAATGTAAATTGTATAAAGGGTGTAAGGGACATCGTAACTAATACTGAAACAGTGTATTCAGACCATCATTCTGAGCGAAAATCATTGGTCATTCCCCGTAGGTATCGCACAAAAGTAATAATTACATGTATATTCCGTGCAAAACGGTCTACGCACACTAACACAAGTTGGCGGCCGGAGGCGAGGCCCCGCGCGCTTCGGCTGTTTGATTAATTACATTGCAGTTTTTGACCGTATTCGGTATTTATTAATTTGTTTTAGGTGAAATGTTCTGTTTACCCATTGTGCTATCCTTTTTAACCAAAAAAATGGAAAATTATAAAAAAAATGATCAATTTTCAGGCAAAAAATTCCAATGATTTTCGACTCAGAATCATAACAGAGAAGTAGCAATGAAATAAAAGCAGATAAATCAACTCGTGTCTACATAAATGAATGAAGAGTTTAAGTGCCTTTTAATCTATACTAATATTATAAAGCTGAAGAGTTTGTTTGTTTGTTTGAACGCGCTAATCTCAGGAACTACTGGTCCGATTTGAAAAATTCTTTCAGTGTTAGATAGCCCATTTATCGAGGTAGGCTATAGGCTATATATAATCACGCTAAGACAAATAGGAGCGGAGCACCAATGAAGAATGTTTCAAAAACGGAGAAAATTTATTACTATTGAGAGACGCAGACGAAGTTGCGCGGGTCAGCTAGTATAAAATGAGCAAAGTGATAAATGTAGAATTCCTCTACAATGTTGTCAAATCGTCTAAGCAACTGATCGGGGTTTTCGAACTTTAAACTCCTGCATCCGGGAACACAGGACTGATTCCTTAGCGTAAAATTTATAGTCATGAATAATTTTTTTTCTGTGGAGGAACGGGTGTCATGTCCCTCCAACACAAACGGAGGATCCTTATACCAGGCGAGGTGATCATGCCTCGCGGGCTGCGACCCAACGGTTGATGTTGGGAAGTTGTATATTTACTAATCGGCGAGATAATTCTTCATATACAGGATAAATTACCGTCTGGCCAGCGTGGTGTAGTAGGCCAAAACCTCCTTTCTAAGGAGAGGCCTATGTCCAGCAGTGGACTATTAAAGGTTGATGATGTGATGATGATGATGATGATACAGGATTAGCAATTCTCATTCAGGAGTTACTCCTTAGTTCGGTATGTCGGTGCTGCATAGTGGCTGGCTGCTGCGTAGGCGGGAGAGATATGCTCTTCTTACGTGAACTGTAGGTGCAAAGTGCTGTGCCTATATTGCTAATCCTGTATCGCAATACAGGATTCTCATTCAGTAGTTACTCCGTAGTTCGGGGTGTCTTCGTTAGATGGCGCTGTAGTATGTTTCTGTTTCTTCGTATGTGGGAGTCGCCACAATATGGAGGGGGCTAAAGAGCAGACGGGTCACCTGATTGCTAGAGTGAAAAAATGTAGCCTCTTGTTTTGCCAGCGTATTATCTAAAATATCGACCACGCCTTTGTGACTCGTGACTTGCAACTGTCTGTGCGATGGTAACCAGCTACTATGAGATGACCTGTCTCTCTGTTTATCTCCTATATCATAGAAAAATATTAGTAAGTGAATATATATCATCATCATCATCACCAGCCTATTCATAAGCCACTCCTTAGAAAGGAGGTTTTGGCCTACTATACCACGCTGGCCAGACGGGTTGGTATAGGGTTTGTTTCAAGTTTTCCTTCTCTTTGCAGTGCTGTTGTTCTGCGTAGTTTATATGAGGATGAATAGGGGTGGTGACCCTCCAGGGACTTCCTTTCTAGGGTGTACCTGGTTCCCCGGCTATAAGTACCCGAGACGGCGTGCGGTTTTAGTCGGTTCGAGTCCGACATGCCACCGATAGGTGGTATCCGAGGGGATTTCCGCACGGAAAAAAAGGGGTGGTGACACTCTGTATTCTAAATCCGTCACCACACGGATGCGAGTCTAGAACGGAACACTTAGATCATTAATCTAAGTGTTGTATCAACATACATATATTTCAGATATCAGAATTTGAACTGAAAGGCATAACATATAAACAAAAAATACAATGTTTTGTGTATCAATGTGTATATTTAACATATCAAACAACTGTTTTCATATCAACATGTTTTTAAGTACTTAGACACGATTTAAAAAACAAGTGTTTATTATTTTCAACAGACTACAAAAGGAGGAGGTTCTCGAGTCTTTCTTTTTTTAAATTTGTTATTTCTGTGAAAAATGGTTTTGTTTTATTTTGGAGGGTATACTTTCTACTTGGTGCTATTCAAAATGGAATTAAAAATACAATTTAAAAGGAAAAATTAAGAATACATCTGCATTGAAGTCGGTGATTGATTTTAACAAGATGGGTGATTATTGGGATGATTTTTCTTATGGTACTCTTATATTCGGCGTCGGCCATTTTCTTTCTTTTTCAACACGAAAATAATAATAATTTCACAACCACATTAATAAACACACACATTATAAATCAACTACACTCGAACACAGAAGTAATGATCGTGCTTATAACACAATATTTTTCCTAAAGGCGAGAATCGAACTTACGACCTTTGGCTTAGCAGATATGATGACAAAACCTATTAATATACATATAATAGTATGCCATCAAAATATAATTTTATCTTTTTAACTTAGCTTTTTTTGGCGCTTTTTTTTTTTGCATCCGACACCTTTAATGACAGCTCCACTTGCTCTATCCATAGATTGACGTTGTTTCTATATTTATGGTATATAAGGAATGGGATTATAATTTAGCTTAACAATATTATCAACTACTACATAAATGGGTTCCCCTTGTCTATTAAACGTCATTTCTCTCAAATCAACTATATTAGCCACTCTATCCAATGCATATTTATACTTATTGTACACATAAACTCCACTAGTAGCACACATATATGGCTTGTAATTATTATCTGTGGTTATTAGATTCACAGTATACCTTTCGTGACTGTTGATAGCTCTAGTACCCATTTTTACTCTAAAAAGGTTTCTATCTTGTAGAAAAAAAATATTATTGTCGTCATCGACTATAATTTGATCAACATATTGTCCTTGGAGCTCCGGTAAGCGGACCACCATTCCGTAATCAAATTTATAAGCTTCCCTCCGGTTATTTATATAATACACATAATCTTTATAAAATAAATACTGAATACTGTCTTGAACAGGTAGTTTTTCGGGTAATTTGTTCTCGTGAAGGAAGTAAAGTCCGTCAGATCCACCCACGTAAATTCTATTTCTTCTCTTGTCTATGGCTACTCCCGTTGCGTTTCTTACACCGTCTATGACTCCAGCAGTTTCATCATCGATGTTAAAGTACCCCAGACCTCTGGAAGGTGGACTGGCTATTTGTTCGAATGTGAAGTAAAGCGTATTTTCATTTTCATTTAACACCAGTTGGTGAATGTTGTTGATCCCATTTTTCAGGATTTCAACTTCGTGGCATCTGTAGTTGAAAAAGATTCCTGGACATTTTTGTGCTGAGGACCAGGAAAGGAGAGCGGTGAGAAGCAGGAGCTTCATGTTCTGGAAGAAAAAAATATGATGATTGTCTTTTTATGGTATTGACGCAAACCTGCTGGTTTAACCCAACTGCTGATTAATGACGTAATGGTAAGTGACTAGTGATACGCAAAATGTATCACTGAGCTGAAAAGATTGATACATATCATTTCGCTCAAAAGATATATATCACTCATCTAGCTCACTAGCTCATTTAGCTCACTAACTCGTTTAGCTCACTAGCTCACTAACTCGTTTAGCTCACTAGCTCATTGATCCGATTCAATTAATTGGTCTCTCAAATAATTCATTTCTTCATCTAGATCGTTTAGCTCAGTATACTCGTATATCACTCACTTCAAGCCTCTCTCGCCATACAAACCTTTCTTTATTTTCATATTAACCTAAATTCAGTTTTTGAAACCACATTTTTAAACTATTTTTAAAAAATACAATTTTATTCATTTTGATAAGATTACAAAATTATTAACACCCTTTTATTAAAATAATAATTAAAAATAAGAAATTATTTCTTGTACTTTTTTTTAGGTTGTAAAATAGAAATCATACATAATTTTATTTTCTTTGATCCTATAAAAATAATGTACATTTTGCATAAAGAAACTTGCGTGAACTCAACCATCATCTATCTCACTCATTTATCTTTAGTCTCACTCGCTCATGAAACAAAGATCGGCGTCATTGAGCTAGTGAGCTAGTGATCTAGTGAGCTAGTACTGAGTTACTGATATATTCGTAGCAAGTGTGAGTGAGTGATACATTTTATCGTTGTGAATGATATATTTCTTTTATATCACTCACTCAGGAGCTACACAACTCTATGAGTGACTATCGCGGCCAATGGTCATCTACAACAAGGGTTGCTGACCTGTCAGTGCCCATTTAAAGCGTTAGAGGGAATGATGGGTTTCAAATATTTAGTAAATATTTGTTTAAACAGGCAAAGACATGGACGGTTCAGTATCTTTTTCTACTGTTTATTAAACTGCCTGACTGATCAAAATGGACCTTGCCATGGGTAGGTTGATGTAGCCGTTTTGATGCAATTTTTAATTAGTAACACCATTAAAAAAAATTGTATTCCAAATCTAACACACACACACATCACACATCAACAGCCTTTAATAGTCCACTGCTGGACATAGGCCTCTCCTTAGAAAGAAGGTTTTGGCCTACTATACCACGCTGGCCAGGCGTATAGGGTTGGCGCTGGTATAGGGTTGAAAAATGCATCTAATCAAAAAAATAGGTACAAATCTTTTTTTTTTTTCAATATTATCAGTTATTAGTGAACCATCCTTTATAAGTATATTAACGTCAATATAGCAACATCACTACAAAATAGGACTTACAAAAGAAAATCCTTTATGGTAAGACAATTTAGTTATAATAAGATAACTATAATCAGCAAACATTTTGAAATCAAGATTAATACAGTAATAATAACCCTAGTCATCATCATCATCATCAACAGCCATTACTAGTCCACTGCTGGACATAGGCCTCTCCTTAGACAGGAGGGTTTGGCACAACCCTAGTACGAAGTTTAATTTACGAGATCATGAATGCTGTTTCATTCAATTAGACTTCTCAATATAGAGTGCAGTGCTCTAGTTTACTTAATACTGGTATCATTTACACCAGACAATGAGCAGGAAGAACTGCATTATTTTACATTGCTGCACGAAGGTTTTATTTACAAATTGTTTTTTTTTTGTAAGTTGTAGTACAAGACAAGTTTTTTTTCTTCATTTTCATGTTATAGGGGCGCAAACGAGCAGACGGGACACTGATGGTAAGTGAGTACCGCCGCCCGTGGACACTTGCAACTCATCGAGTCCCAACTGACACTCTTGATGAAATGCAACACCGCAAGAATTGCCAGTGATGACTTGTGACACAAAGACGTGGTCGCTCACAACGGGCCTCATAAGAAGGCTCAAAGTCACCCCAAGAGCAATGGAAAGGGCAATGTTCAGCATTTCATTAAGTGATAAGATCTGAAACCAGGAGATCCACAGATGAACCAACATGAATGTCACCAACATTGCCTGGAGAATTGCCAATACTTAAGTGCACTGGTACTGGTGCGGGGCACATTGCTGCACATAGAAATAAAGGCGACCGCGTACAGGAAGACGGAGCGTGGGTAGGGTCCCCGCAAGGTGGTCCGACGACCTGGTGAAGGACGAGGGAAACCGTTGGGTGTGGGCAGCGCAAGACCGGCTGTTGTATGTTGTGCTTATGTCCAGCAGTGTACATCTTTCGGCTGAGTAGAAGAAGAAGAAGGCATGCTTATCAACGATTTTCGGTCGAAATTCGATTACAGGATTAATACGCCTAAATGGAACCTACTGGATATTGTCGAGAACGCAATATTTTACCTCACCTTCTGATAACGTGAAGAATCAACTGTAGTTCCACGCATCGCTGGCTACATTAAAAAGGTACAATGATACTGATGAATGACCATTCATGTAATACCAGGACATAACCCCACCTACGTTCGACAAGCCTGTTGTTCTAGTGGTTAGTGACCCTGACTGTTAAGTCATTGAACATACTTAAATATTATTTAATATAAACATATTATAGATAAATAAACCGAGGCACAGAAGAAATGATCATGCTTTTCACGCAATTATTTTAGTGCAAATCGAATCCGAAATCCGTATGGTGACGGATTAAAATCCGTGTGGTGACGGATTAAGAATACAGAGTGTCACCACCCTTATTCATCCCGTGGGTGTCGTAAGAGACGACTAAGGGAGCAAACTACGCACTGCAGAGACAAGGAAAAACTTGACACAAACCCTATACAAACCCGTCTGACCAGCGTGGTATAGTACGCCAAAACCTCCTTTCTAAGCAGAGGCCTATGTCCAGCAGTGGACTAGTAAAGGCTGTTGATGAAATCGAACCCACGACCTCTGGTTCAGCAGCCAGGTTTACTAACCACTAAACCACATGGCTTATTCTACAAACACTTACATACATAAAAAATATTCAAGCGATTTCAGACATCAAAAGTAAAAAAATAATTGAATCCAAATTTAATTGAAAAGACTAAATTCAATTAGATATGATAGGTCAGGTCAGGTCAGGTTAGAACTCTATTGATATAATAAGTTGATAACATTATAATTATAAACATAAGGATAATAACAATAATAACCTCACACATAACACACACGGCTGTCTGATTCCAAACTAGGCAGAGCCTGTACGATGGTAACCAGACCACTGATAAACATACTTATATATTTCTAAATACATACATACATATTATAGATAAATTACACCCAGACCCAGAACAAATAATCGTGCTCATCATACAAATATTTGTCCTGGGTGGGAATCGAACCCGGTTTAGCAGTCAGGGTCACTAACCACTAGACCAACAGGCCCGTCAGGATGTAAGTCAGCACAAATTCAAATAAAATTCAAGTTAAAATAATCCCCGTAGAAGTATTTGATGTCAGCTTTAATTTGATACCTCTGTTTAGACAAGCTGACAGACGTCAAGACCCTATTTTACAGAAACAGGCAAACCAACGAACAGTGAAGGGTTCCTTTTTGCCCTTTGGAGGAAAAAAACACTAGAGTGGTTCGTCAAGCTGCGCGCTTATAGATCCAATCGAAAAATGAGCTTTCTCGAATTCATGTACCTATTTTGTCCCTTTTCGCGACATCTCACCCACGGATTGCAGGAAAGAGACAAAAGATCAACAATTGCTGCAAATATTGGTAAACTTCCTTTATTTCTCTGATGACAGTGATGACTCTCCAAAGTTGAACGTAATTGCAATACCTACACAATTCAACCTTAATAACAATATCATTCATCACCGCCTGCGTTTCTCAAAAGGAATAAATTTTCCCTGTTTTTGCATCATTCTTCATTAATGCTAGTCTCCTGTTGGTGATAGCGTGATGTTTAACTTATATAGCCTTTCTCTCTTCCTAGATAAATGGACTATCCACCACCAAAAGAATTTTTCAAATTGAACCAGAAGTTCCTGACATCAGCGTGTTCAACCAAACAAACACACAAACCAGCAAACGTAACAACTTACATACTTTTTTTAAGCCCTCGTCTATTGATACAAAACAAAAAACTAAACAATAGACAAACAGAGAAGCAGAAATGTATAAGCAATAAGTTTAAGTTGAATATTTAAACATAGTTTCCCTCCAAATCAATCTCAAATCAAACTAACGAAAAAGCGGTCCCAGCGAGTAGGTATTCTAAGACCAAAACAAACGAGGTATGAAACCTAATACCTATATGTCTCGAAGTAAATCGCATTTCATCATCAATCATCAACAGCCTTTAACAGTCCACTGCTGGACATAGGCCTCTCGTTAGAAAGGAGGTTTTGGCCTACTATACCACGCTGGCCAGACGGGTTGGTATAGGGTTTGTGTCAAGTTTTCCTTCTCTCTGCAGTGCTGGTGTCCTGCGTATTTCGCTCCCTTAGTCGCCTCTTACGACACCCACGGGATGAATAGGGGTGGTGACACTCTGTATTCTTAATCCGTCACCACACGTATTAATCCGTCACCATGCGTATTAATTAAGAATGATGAAAATGATATGTGATAAATGCTTGCTAACAACCCAGAGCATCAAGCCTTCTACTAAAACAAGTAAATCGGTTGAATAAAACACCCGGACGGACTTTGAGTAGCTTTTTTAATACAGATTGTGACAGTAAAATACAAAACAAAACTATGATTACAGCTCTTATTCTGAACCCAACCTTGTATTAAGGCCAACAAAAGAAATTAAAAAATAATCTACTCACAGTTTTAAGTTCCATAATCAGTTACGTAACATAGAGGTCTGCACATATCAACGGTTCACGAGCCACTGATTGGTCGTGTGAATGGAAAAGGCGGGAGCCGTGACATTCATATACGTAACTAGTTACTCAGCCCGGTTTCACCTGTTGTATACATTCATTAATATTTTTATATCTGATGAAAGTTTAACTGAGGTTTAGTTTTTGTTTTATATTGGCTTATATTAGTTAAACTTGTAATTAACTAACTATGTAAACAGATCTTAGAAATCAGGTTTTACTACTGATTAATTCGAATTAAAAGTAATAACTTGACACATCTTACTCTTGACCGTCTGATATCAAACCGAGGCTGAAATCTGAGCGTGTATTAATCAAATTATTTATATATTTCTAACTAAATAACCGTCCCGTCCGTGTGGTGACGGATTAAGAATACGGAATGTCACCACCCCTATTCATCCCGCGGGTGTCGTAAGAGCCGACTATGGGAGCAAACTGTGCAGGACAACAGCACTGCAAAGCTATATCAACCCATCTGGCCAGCGTGGTATAGTAGGCCAAAACCTCCTTTCTAAGGAGAGGCCTATGTCCATCAGTATACTGTTATATACTGTTGATGATGATGAACTAAATAAACGTCATAGATAAACTACATCAAAACACAAAACAAAAGATCATTGCTCATTACGCAATATTTGTCCTGGGTAGAAATCGAACCCACGAGCCATGGTTTTCCAGTCAGGATTGCTAACCATTACACAAACAGGCCGTCTAAGTTCAGATTACGATATTATAACTTGACATCTTGGAACTGCTGCTATCAGTGCCGGATTAAGCCAGCGCGGGGCCTGTAGCAAATGCTATCAATGGGCCCTTGGATTGTTTTAGGTTATCCAGTTTATGGTGTTCATCATCATCATCAGCCTATAATGGTCCACTGCTGGACATAGGCCTCTCTTAGAAGGTTCTTGCCTGCTATGCCACGCTGGCCAGACGAGTTGGTTATACCAGTCTACCAGACACAAGATTAAAGAAACTAACCCTATAAGGTTTGTTTTAAGTTTGACACATCGGCCCATTTTGTGCGGTGTTACACAGGGCTCTGGTCTTGGGCAACCTCCTGTGGAACATAAGGTACGACCGGGCCCTTTAAGGAGACTTCCCCCCTCCCTTGGGCTGGGCGTCATCTGTTACACCAACGAAATGCATTTGCATAAATAACAAATTGTTCTACATATACAAAATTAAAAAAGTATGAAACAGATGGACAGACTTGGTGATGATATTTAAAAGTCCATAAATAAAAGATGATTACTATGTTTTCATTGTACAATGGCGACTTTTGTTGACCGTGTATAGAATTCATGATATCATTCAATGCATTGATGGCATATCAGCGTTTGGATCATTTAGATCGTGGGCAGCGGCATTATAGCTCTGAATTAGATCGAAATTTAATAAAATTATGATGCTTGATTTAAAAACGGTTTTTGATAGTTAATACTGTAATTAAGCATCTTGGAGCTGATCTGAACTTCACCCAAACCAGTATAGTAGGCCGAAATCTCCTTTCTAAGGAGAGGCCTTTGCAGCAGTGGACTATTAAAGGCTGTTGATGTGTGATGTGATGTGAGCTGATCTGATGTAGGAGCCAGAAATTGGAGGGATAAACTCTTTTGTTGTTACCAGTGAACACTTCGGGTTTGGATTCGTATTAGTTTTAACTAGTCCCACAAATTAGGCTTTCAACGGGCTGACGATGGAATGGTCGATATTACTTTCTTTTTTATGGCATGGGAGGCAAACGAGCAGCAAGCTCCCCCCTCCACTTCTCAGAATACCTTTATCCTGAGGGGGGGGGGGGGGGTCTATACACTGGTATTCTTACTAAGTTAAACGATTTTTTGCGTAACACTGGTTTTTTGTACCGCCTGCAGCGGTATCCTGGTATCACTCCCGGTAGAGACCGTCCATTTATGCCGCAGCATGGCCCTCTCAAGGACACTGACCAAATTGGCTAAACTATAACACAAATACAAGCACAAATTTACACCTACTTGATAAAGGAAGGAACCACGTAATCATCCCGCCTAAAATATTTTTTTCTTTTTAAAATTCGAATTTAAAAAAAAGAAGTATTTTTGGCATCTTGATTTTTTAATTCATGCGAATATCATGGCGGAGAAAGCGGTCTTGCGTTGCATCACACCTACATACGTTGTATACGAATAGTATGTCTTATGTAACAATGTTGTTTCGCGTTAGATATAATATAACTGACCTTGGCATCATGAAAAATAAATATCCATTGTACATTGTAGTTAGTTTGAACTGAACAAAACAACTTTTTGTAGTCAAGTCACATTTAACCGTATGTTTTACTAGCTATTGGCTTTCAAACTTTTTTTTTTTTTTAATTTCCAAAGATCCTTTCTTAGTATGTGCTTACAACATAAAGCATCAGCTGCCAAAATGAATCAATCAGTTAATCATGGCAAATAATTTTATAATCATAGATTAGGCCGTAGCTATGTTTGTGCTCATCAGTTACAAAATCAAGAGTAGTTCCTAAGACCTTCATCCTTCAAGAAATGTGCATACTCCTTCCTAAAAGGCTGGCGTTTGTGACTGCTGAGTTGCAGACGTTCATTGGCGGCGATGGTCACTTTTCATTACGTGACCCGACTGCTTGTCTGCCCCCTCCAACATAAAAAAAAAGGAAAGAGATAAGAATTTAACATATAGAAGAAGAAAGAAGATCTGTACTGTTTGTTGAGATCGAAAAACGCATTATGTATCGTCATCGTGGACATTTGATGTTGATGTCTTTTTTTTTATTGTAGGAGTGCGAACGAGCAGACAAGTTACGACTGAATGACTACCGTCGGGGTCACAACAGTAAAAGAACGGGTGTGAGGTCTAGGTGATCATGCCCCGGGCACGCCGTCATCGCGGCGGTAAGACCCGTTATGGAGGATTGGCTCGAGAGGCGTCACGGGACCCTCTCATACCGATTGACGCAGGTGATCACTGGGAAGGGATGTTTCGGGGATCACCTGTGTCTGATCCGCAAGGAGCCAACGCCTGAGTGCCACCACTGCGATGGCCAGACCGTGGACACCGCTCTCCACACGCTGGACTCTGCCGCCGGGCACTCGCCCGGCGTGGGTTGAGCAGAGGCGAGACCTCGTAGCGGCCATCGGAGTGGGAGTTCTCTCGCTCGATAGCCTGATTGCGGCTATCGTGCGGAGCGAGAGTGCGTGGAACTCTGCCGTCTCCTTCTGCGAGCAAGTTATGCTCGCGAAGGAGACGGCGGAGCGGGACCGGGAGAGGTTTAGGACTCTCAAGGCCCGCCAGGCCCGAGAACGGGCCAGGCACCGCAGGCGACTCAGGCGCCGGAGGTCGCAAAACGACCTCCGTCCTCCATAAGCGCAGGCCTGGGGGTGACAGGTGAGGCCATCTGTCACCCTAGCAGAAGCAGGCCGCTCGCTTCCAGGGAGCACAGGGAACATGGGGTTCCCACACGGGGGGGGTCGTCTACTCGTCTGTAGATGACCCGAGGTATGTCGGGGCACCAGGGACTTCCTTTCTAGGGTATACCTGGTTCCCCGGCTATTAGTATCCGGCGACGGCGTGCGGTTTTAGTCGGTTCGAGTCCGACATGCCACCGACAGGTGGTATCCGAGGGGATTTCCGCACGGAAAAAAAAAAAAAAACGGTGATCATGCCAAGCCACTGTCATACGACAGTGGCTTGGCGTAAACATAAAATAGCAGAATTGAGGCCCAGGTCGTCAGACCACCCTGTTACCCACGCTCCGTCTTCCAGTACGCGCCCGCCACTTAGAGAACTCTTTGGCCCCTTCGATCATCGTTTCTGCGAGCAGTGTGTCCCGCCCACTGCCAATTAAATTTAGCAATTTTCCGGGCTACGTCGGTGACATTGGTATTTTCGCGTATTTTTAGGGTAGGTGCAGAAATCAGAAATATAGATTCAGCGCAGATGCGTAGGAAATGTAACAGTGCAGAGATATCAACGCCACAAGGCCCGGACCCATGCAATACCTAAGCTGATAAGTACAATAAACATAAGTAAGTACTTCGTTAGGTTAAATTAGTTAAAACAATCTTATGTTCCCCGTTTCTACTTTTAACATGAATATATACGAAAAATACCTACAATAACATTAAATCTTTAAACATGTTGTTTAATGGTTCTAGAGTAGTAAAAAATGTACCTACTTCCATCAAGTAAATATATCAAAATGCAAGTCTGTGAGAATTCATTATGGATATGTAATCTATAAAATGTAATTTACAACTATGTAGCTCGAAGAAGTTAGAATTGTTTTCATTATATAAATATATCACAATATTGCATAATAATCTACAAATTATAATATAAATGCTTATACCGTGTATTTGAGTGAGAGAGTTGCTAACATTGCCACAACTAGACTCTTCCAGTCGATGTTTCTCTGCAATTTAAAATGATGATGATATTTGGTTGACTGGAATAGAATGCTGCGGACATTAAGTACGTTGATGTACAAAAGTGTACCTACAGATAAAAAAAATATATATTTGTTTTTCTTGATGAGACAGCATCATGGAATGCAAACGCAATTCGTTTGGTATACGCGCATATTTCAGTTAAGCGTGGTCAGTTTTACTAACTTTGTAAATGCACTGTTCTTGGTGCTGCCATTTGCAGGCCTTATCAAAAATTTTGCCGAGTAATGGCAGCACTGACTAGTGTTGTTACGAAGTTGGTATTTCACCTCTTGATTTTTGAACTTGAAAATAGTGACAAGACACGATACTAAAGGTAAAAAGGTTGAAATTACATACTCATATCCCCGTATAAATTCGATATAAGGTTACTGTCAGGTAATAGGTTATCAACGATAAGCATCAACAGAATTGGTTTTATCAGGTGAATCATGTGGCAATCCATAGCGTATGGAGACTTTTCTTTATTATTAAAACATAGATTCACCAGAACAACATATAACCTTGGATTTGTTGATTATAAAATTATTTCTTTCATTTACTTGTACTGCATTAGTAAATTAGTAATAAGGTACATCCATCAAAACTTTCAAAACTTTTGACAGGATTGTCAGAGTCGATTTATTCGTCCGACAATAGTTTTAGGTACAACACTTTTTCTGATTGCCCTAAATGTCAAAGTCACGTTGAACGCATGAACGATGAGAATATTTGTATTGGGATTGATTTGCTTGCATTTGCGGCATTCGCAGAATAATATTTTTATCAGTGTCAGTTGTGATATCAGCCAGTGTGTGTTACTGTTCGTTGTGCTCGAATATTAATCATTATCTTTAACTTATTTACAAATATAGTATGTGCACATATTGTTTTAAATGTTAATATAAATAATATCGAAATCGTGGGTTTGATACGAGTGTGTGTTTGTTTCCTTTTTTTTTTAAATCAGCGAGCAAGGGTAAGTGATCATAATTTCGTCCTTTTTAGTAAAAAAAATAAATAAAATTACCTCAAGGTTATATAAAAAAGGTCAATACTAATCTATGGTGTATTGGAATAAATCATGTAAATTCTTATTGAATTCTAATAACTCATGTTTTTATTTATTTTTTCCACTTAACCCTCGTTGAATTTAAAAACCCTCCCTGGGTTTTTAAATTCAACGTTTTTTCTTGTTTTATTTACATCCATGTAACTCTTCACCATTTCTAAAAAGATTTTGAAATTTCCATACAGTTTTTTTTAAATTTAAATTATTTATAAGGAAATTTACCTTCACAAATGAAAAAGTTGGTAATGAAAAATACAGATTTATAATTGGTGATAATGTAATTTAAGTCATATTAAAGTTGGTGATACTTTCATAAAGTTAATTATTTAAAAGAATAACTAATATTTTCATTGCATACAAATTCCTGGGCAGTTTGTTATTTATTTTAATTATTGTTTCTAATGTGGAGAGTTTAAAAATTAAATGAAAATTGCTTTCAAAGTACTAAGAGGTATTATTAAAATCATAAATCATCATCATCAACAGCCTTTAGTATCATCAACATCTACTGCTGGACATAGGCCTACTTTAGAAAGGAGGTTTTTGCCTACTATACCACACTGGCTAGACGGGTTTTGTGTCAAGTTTTCTGTCTGTTTGCAGTGCTGTTGTCCTGCGTAGGTTGCTCCCTTAATTGACTCTTACGAAACCCACGGGATAAATAGGAGTAGTGACACTGTATTCTTAATCCGTCACCACACGGTATATACAATGAAACAATGTGTAAATAATCATAAAAAGTTATTTTAATTAAACATTTAATTGATATTATCTTAAAAAAGCATTGGTTCTAATAGAGGGTAACACTACCAAAATACGAAGACAAACAATAGTACTAATTAGCCTATCTCAGTGGCCCAGTGGTAGTTTATGCGACTGCTGTGCTGAGGTCTCAGGTTTGAATCCCGTTTTGTATTTGTATTGTATCATAAAAATGTTTGTATGATCTGCAAATATTAGTTTCGGAGTTTTGGTGTTTTCTATGTATAATATATAAGTAATTCCAACAAAAAAGCATAAAAGTATATTTAGTATTCTATTAGTTAATCTAGCTTTCATAGTACAAACTTTGCTTGGTTTGAAATTAGAAGGCGTTGTGTGGCAGATGTCCAAAATATTGTAATTATTTGAATTATACAATTGAGGGTCAAAAGACAAATAAATTCTGATGAAAAAATAACATCATTTTATTTAAAAAGTAAAAATTAGCCCATGTCCTTTCTCAAGAATCAAACTATCCAGATACCAAATTTCATCTACATCGGTTCAGTGGTAATTGATTTCCCATATAAACTTCCACCCCCTCTTCACCGCCTTAAAAGATGTTTTCTGGGATAGAACTACCTTATGTCCTTTCCCAGGACTCAAACTATCTCTATACCTAATTTTGTATAAATCACAGATAGACACACTATTGCATTTATAATATTAGTATGGATGTCTTATCAGCATTATTCATGCTTCATCACATATGTCTAAAAATTTGATTCATTTAAATGTATAAAACTAACATATCTATATAAGAGATTTCCACGTATATAGTCACTCATCACGATATCTCTGGAACCATTGGAGCTAAAGACTTGCAATTTGGTAGGAATAGTCTTTTCACCGAGTAGAGGTCAGCTAAGAACGGATTTTAAAAAATTAAAAAAAAAGAACATTTTTTTTAAATAATGTAAACGTTTGCAGGGTCAGCTAGTAATATTTAAATGGTTAAGGTGTACTTAAATATAGGCTCCTGATTATTATTATGTTTTAAATCAAAGGTCAAATGAATATAATTTATCAAATACTTTTAAGTGTTATCTGATGAATGATAAACTAATAAATTTACCAAATAATTAGATAAGTTATCTATTGATTGACAGTTATTTGCTTTACTTTTATGGGACCGTTATGTGTTAGGTGATATTATTTCTTCAAATAAATTAAAACAAATTTTATTGTTAGAGATAAAACCTTAAGCAGGAAATTCAGCTTAGTAGCTTACTAAACGTAATCAACTAAGTTGTATTTCCTGCTTAACTTAAGGTATAAAAATATGAGTCAATTTTTTTCTAGTGAATTGATGGTAAGTGATCCCTCATGGTCAGTTGTCCGGACGGATACGACCTTCAAGAAAGGAGCTTACTCCTTCCTAAAAGGCCTGCAACGCGTTTGTGAATCCTGAATTGCAGATGTTCTTGGTGGCGAATGTCGCTTTCCATCAGGTGACCCGTTTGCTCATAAAAAAAAGTCCATTGCTACCTTTTGAGTGCCAATACCACTACGCCATTCGGTCGTCGGAATTCGGTCAAACTTTGGTTTCAATGTACTCTCGATCTCACAAAATTCATAAAAGGTATGTCCAAAGAATGTCTATGTGATTTGAATCCAAATAAAATGAATGGTAATTGCGTGATTTTAAACCAATTTGAAAAAAAGAGTTACTCCTTGAACACAAAAAATTGTTCCTTTTTCTATGGATGTTACTTGATAACTTTCTATCGTATTTAAGAAAAAAAATTGCTCATACACGATGCCCCATTTCTACCACACATTTTTTACTGCACGGATTGCGTAGTGGTATAAGCTGTCGCCACGCCGCTTACTACTACGCTGAGTGTTGTGGCTTCGATCCCCACATGGGACGATACTTTGTGTGATCCAAATTATCGTTCTGAGTCTGGGTGTTCTTTGTGTCCGCTTCATACAAGTTTGTAAAGTCTCCGGCGACACTGGATGTATTCATGATGCGGGATTTGTTCAAAACAAACTCATTTTTCATTCCCGAAGTAGTAGAAAGAGTCGCATTAAACGCCAACATTTTCTCCACTATGAATAAATTTTCTTTTTCCGAGCCTTTATCCCAAACTAGGTTGGGGTCGGCCTACGTCCCAACTTCGATTCTTTACGCGGAGCAACTAACATCAGACCTCAACTACCCAAGTAGGTACTATGCGATATCGAAGTTCTGTAGAAAGACTTTTTAGGGCTCCAACTACCCGTAACGGGATTCATTTGGATACGTCCAAATGAATCAAAATGAATCCAAATAAATGTTTTGCTATTACAACCAAAGAAACGAAACCTAAAGAAAATTAAAAGTATTATTCGCAAAGAGACGTTAATCTAATAGGTTCTCGTAGTAATATAAATTAGCGTAAATGTCATCGTGTAATTTGTCGTTAAGATAATCCGTCAGAGTATAATAGCATTTGTTTACCAATAATTCACTTATTGAAGTGAAAACTTCTTTAGCGGCGTTGTACACTTTTTTTGTAATGGGTAAAAAATGTTAAACTCGCGTCAGGACACGTGACCTAATCGAAAATTCGTAAGACGGTGGAGAGTAGACAGCCGGCCCGGCGTAGGAGAGGAAGTATCCCCTTCTCTTTCTACGGCGCGGCGAAAATGTATGCCTGCGCCTGCTGTTTCGTTTAGGCGGCTCAGGGCACTTGCGCGAATATTCGTGTGTTTTTATGTTACAGCGTGCCACGCGCATCCATGGATGGTGACAGCGTCTCGATAAATTCTCATGTTTGTGTACGATAGCGCAATAAATAAATATTGTATTAAACCACATAAATGATAGTACTTTCATACTGATAATTAAAGTAATTCGTGCAAAATTATTCCCTAACCATTCGAAAATATAAAAAATGCACAACGTTAATATTCAAGTTTTCACTTCTGGCGGCACTCCCGGAGTGCAACCCGTCGTTTTTTTTTTCTTGAACATATTAAACTCTGCTTCCTTCACTGTTTTTGGCAGTATATTGTATATAAGGGATGCCATACATACATACTTTTACGCAACAATGCAGTATTAGTTTTACGCACACAAAGTCGATGCACATCTCGCTGTCGTCTGTTATATAAATCTGAAGCTAACATAAATAAACCTGGATTACGTTTAACAAACATAGCCATTTGAAATATGTATAAGCAGGGCAAAGTTAATAGTTTGTATTTAAGGAAGTATGGACGACAGCTATCTGTAGTTTTCAAGGCAAACATATCTCTATCGCCGATAACGAAATTATCGGGTCGTTGATCTTGACTAATATCGGTTAAGATAACGATGGCGTGGGCCCGTATGCCGTCGGTATGGGCACATCATCACATCAACAGCCTTAAATAGTCCACTGCTGGACATAGGCCTCTCCTTAGAAAGGAGGTTTTGGCCTACTATACCACGCTGGCCAGACGGGTTGGTATAGGGTTTGTGTCAAGTTTTCCTTCTTTTTGCAGTGCTGGTATCCTGCGTTGTTTTGCGCCCTTAGTCGGCTCTTACGACACCCACGGGATCAATTGGGGTAGTGACATTCCGTATTCTTAATCCGTCACTACACGAACGTCGGTATGGGCAGGCCGACTCAAAACAATGGTCCTTTCTACAAAAGGTCAACTCAGACCCTACACTGAACTTGCATAGTTTTCTGTAACATTGTTTACGGACTAAAAAAATACCTGTGTAGTTTGTTTCGGTGGGAAGAATCCCAGAGTGAGTCTTAGGAAATGCCGGCGCCATTTAGCTGTCGAGTCCGACTTGTAAAAATATCTGACAAGATTTACTTACAGAAATTAAATAATATTATTTATTTACCAAACCTTTCCCTCCAACTGATTATTCTGATTCATGGGCGGCGGTGGTCACTTATTATCAGATGACCAGTCTGTTTGCCCATTATCATCATCATGGGTTGCCATCCTCCAAATGAAGTTTGAAGGTCAGCAGACGGTACACCTCTCGATCATGAGCGGCCTCCTTTAGTTGGCGATATCGCAGTCCGGTCCAGGCCATTATATCATAAAAAAATATTTCTTTCATTAGTGATACCTTTATTATCGATCGGCAGTTAATTTATGTTTAATTTATACAATTGCAGAATTAATTAAGGATCACATCGAATGTAGTTACG